TAAGATGGTGGAGTGTGTGCACACATCTCACTTGTATGTCCTGCCCTCGCACCCTTTCTGAAATCCCAAGAAACAAAAAAGTGAGTATATCAACAGGTCTGTCAAAAACTGTGTCGCAGTTAAGTCTTTGCAGACTAGGCAGCAGCCACAGCTCTGACTATAGAACTTGCCATCATCTTACTGCTTCATCTTGAAATGGCAGGCCAAGAGCAAGAGACTTTCCAAGTCGGTGCCTTCTCTAGTATGATATATATTGCTGACTTTTCTTTGAAAAGCTTCCTGGTATTTTCTCAGTGTTTGGAAGACTAGAAAAAAACATACATGTTCTTCAGCTGTACCGGGCACTATGACAGAGAGGAAAGATGGTACTGGTCTTTTGCATAGTCTCTTTACCGCCTTTACCTTTTTCCTGGGTGACCCAGAACTTCCTAAGTGAGAGAGGCAGAAACCAATTCTAGGCTCTCAGTACTGTGAGGCACCTGTACACCTGAAATATGTTGGTTCTGTAGGCACAGAAAACAACAACAAAAAAATCAATTTACATTTTTAATTAATGGGTTATTTCGAGAGAAGGAACGTGTCAGGGCAGCAAGTTTATTGCATTTTGGTAGAGCCTATCAAGAGAACCATCAGAAAACAGTGATCTCTTGTGTGATTCCTGGCCGTTTTGTTTTATAAGCAGTTTAGCTATTTCTCTAGTGGGTCCTGTTACAGCAATATTTATCTGTACTTTTTAATGTCTTACACAAAGTTCTTCAAACTAGAAGAAGGGAAGGCATTTGTTGTTAAAGAAAATACTGATCTGTTATCACTCACCTGGATTTGAATTACATTTTTTCCCATTTTTAGACTATATCTTGAATAGATTATAGAATTGTAGTGCACTGTAACACTTCATCTTCAATTTCCAAGAAATTCTGTATGGTGCTACTTGGTTTAAGTGCTATGAGCAACCTTGTTTTTATTCTAGTTCCTCTGATACTAAATTTTGATATCGTGTATGCAACTCTAATCTGTTAGCCCTTAGCAAACACTTAGGCTATTAGAACCAAACCAAGCAAACATTTAAACAATAACTAAATCAGCTTTCTAAGTGTTACTGGTTTCTCATGTCATTAATAACGACTTACCAGAATATCTTTTGCTGAATCAGTATTACTAGTTGACTTCTACATATTTTTCTCTAAAAACAAGAGTAATTTTCTACAGGTAGGATAGTATACTTAAAAAAAAAAACCAAAACACCACAACCAAAAAAGCCTAAGTATTTGCATTCCTTAGGCTATAAAATTAGAGACCTGGGATTTTGTATCATAAGATGGTCAAGGTATGGTGCATTGCATTTGCAATATGAAATAAACTCTCATACTACAGGTTTGTCAGTTTCATCAATTCGAGGTGTTTTCATCTCTGCTCAGAGAAATTAACCAGATTGCATGCTTTGAAGCGGAGAAACCACACACATCTGCATGAGTGCACACTTCTCCCTGCTCCCCCCCCCCCCCCCCCCCCCCCCCCCAATTCTTCACAAAACTTGTTTTGGGTTATGTTTTCTCATTGCTTTCCCACTTAAGAACAGGCTGTAAAACCAGGGAACCCTTGAGAGAACTATGCTAAATAGCCCTTTGTAGTCTGTCCTTGTGGTCACCAGCATCACACCTCTTCTTAGCTGTAAGTTCGTTTATGCCTATTTGTGGGGGTTTTGAGAATGGTACAGATGCTGTCAGTGGATGTAGAAACTCAGACTGACTGTAAATAGCTTGGAAGTTTGAGTTCCTACTTACTACTTACTTTAAGTACTGTACTTCGGTACCTTTCAACCGTGATAAAGTTAGGGCTACTTACCCACATGAGATAGTCTGAGGCAGCTCTTATACGAGTGCTGTATCTGCAGCGCTTTGCCATCCTTGGTGAAGCAACTTCCTGTTAGAACCACTGATCCGTGTAACATTACTGTATGCAACAGAAGTGGTCAGGCTGTGTGCCGCCTTGTATTCATTCAAACCTACTTCTTACTGATTTTGAGAAAACTATACTTGAATAACTCAAACTAAGGGGTGTGTGGTCACATTTAATTATTTATTCAATTTGCCTATTGTCCTGTTGGTAAACTTTTCATAACACAGTTTTACAGATTTTACTTTTGGGGGTAATTTTTGTCTTGGGCATCAGCTGAGGAAGGAAGGAGGGGATGTCAGTCCCCTAGGTGCATCTGTTGTGAGCCTGGCATGGTGGAAAATTTGGGCTTGCTTGCAACATTATTTTGCACTTAAAACTTGCGGCAATTTCCTAGAGGGATCCTAAACTACTGTTACTAGTAGGTAGTGACTGTTAACGCTGTTGGGACTGGTAGCTTCAGCTCAGTGCTAGTTGTGTTTTCTTGGAAGTTTCTGGTAAATATAAATAAGGTCTTTGGGAAAGGCAGAAATATGTAACAGATTCAAAACCCTATGTATAGGTGTCTGTTGGCCACCTTTATTTGCTAGTCATGTATTGTGAGCTTGTATGTTATGAAAGGAACTGAGAATACTTTGGGGGTGGGGGAAGAGGTGGGGAGGGATCATGGAAAGCTGTGTGTGTATTCAGGGTATAGAAAAGGGAAGAAAGTAAAAATAGTGGGCACATGGAAAATGCTGTGTGGCAGCAAAGAGCCTGTATGACTTTCGGGGGTTGAAGCCATGTCTTGTAAATTGTTAGATCTTTTTTGAAATTGGGAGGGGGGAAAAAAAAAGCATGTGGCACTTGTCTAGCATTTGGGAAGTATGTATTTGATATACTTTTATTAAAGCAAAAAAACTATCGAGAAGGTCTCTAACACTCTTTTTACCTCAGAAAACAAAGGCCTAAGAATAACGGTCAGTTTTAATAATAGGAGGAGGCTAACAGGTTGGACGAAGATTTTTAAGGGAACTGCACTTGGGGTATGGTAGTCAGCATATTCATAAACGCTACCTTGCTGGTATCTCTCAGATCAAAATTTGCTCATGAAACCAAATTACTTGGGCTAGTTAAAACTAAAACTTAACTGGGAAATGTTGCTAAAGGGTATCTGTTATTTTGACTAAGGCAAGACATTTTGTATTCATAAATGCAGTGGAATCTACATGATGGGTGACGGGTGGAAATCTAAACAAGGCAAAAATATCTATGATGATTTCAAAATCTATCACAGGAAAAAACTGCTAGCAGAGTAGTGATTAAAAAGATACAGATAACGTGAGAAATTGCTAGTAAAAGCTTTTAGAGCAAAAGAGCAAACATGCTAATGATATCTTCAGATTTTGAATAATGGTGTAGTTTTTGTTTCATCCTTCTCAAAATGTGTAATAGAACAATAATGGGTATGTAAACAGATGGTCAAAAATATGGAACAGCACCTATACCTTTTAACAGCAGAAAGCTTTAGCATAGTAATTATGTGCAAGAGGTGGGGGAGAAAAGGGATATGATAAAAGATTATAAGTACTATTAGAGCTGAATAGGAGATGATTATTTTCTTTCTTTAAAGTAATGTCATTAGATTTTTGTTTTCTTGCACTTTGCTCAGAAGAATACGTAAAGACACCTATGTAAAAGTTACTGCTGCATACTGAGCTGTATGAGCAAAAGTGTATCTATACAGTCAATAGAACTGATTCCTCACCTCTGCTTGGCACTATTAAGGCTGTGTCTGGATTATTGTGTGCAGTTTGTACTGTGTGCAGATAATCACATACTGGAGAGGATCTGGTGGAGGGTCTCCAAGATGGTTAGAAAGCTGAAGCAAATGCTATACGTGGAGAGGCCGAGAGATAGGCTTTCCTCAGTTTTAGGATAAGAAGGACACAGTTATTGCTGTTTTCAGTGACCTGATAGGGAGGTTTAGCAAAGGAGGAGCCAGAGTCATCTCCACCCTATAGCTGCCAAGGATGAGAGGCAACAGACAGAAGTTGCAACACTGGAAATTCTCATGAGATGTTGGGAAATTTCCCCCCTCCCCCATAACGAGGTTAATCAGACATTGGGAAATTGTTCAGAAAGGTAGCAGAAACTCCAGCCTTTGAAAACACCCATTAATGGCTCAGCTGGACAAGACTACAAGCAATCTCATCTCACTGGCTCCTGCTTGAGCAGGAGATTTGACCACCTGATCTTCTGAGGTCCTCTCAAAGATGAGCTGTTCTGTGTAATGCTCTGGCTTTGTGGAAGACAAAAACATAAAGGTCCTAAAAGGCAGTGAACAGTTTCACAAGGTTAAAAAAAAAAAAAAAAAAGTACATCAGTAGCTATTTAATGTTTATCCAGGAAGAACATCCATCGATCTCTATACCTTTTGCTTATATATGGAAGGAGCACACACTTTGCAATTTTTTTCTGGTCCAATTGATACTTGGCTCCGTATCTGCCAAGATATAGAGCAGAATGGCTGATGAAAAGGACCCCTGCTGGCCACGTATTCTTACTGCTGCTGCTGGCTTCTCTGGAAAGTTTTAAAAAAGCAAACCAAAATTATTAGTTTTGACCATGTATGTGGTGGACACCATGCTGGGGCAAGTGTGGGAGTACCTTAAACCTTCTGTAGAACTTCACTGCTGTGTCCTTTTTAATGATACCGTGTTAGCAGTGGATGCTGGGCTAGATACATCTGTTATCTCACCCAGCATGCCTTTTTTTTTTTCTTCCTTTTTTTCTTTTCCCTTTTCGTCTCTTCAGGGAAATGAAAATAATGAATGACTGTTTAATGTAGCTTAAAAATGACTGTGTTAATCACATGACAGTTAATTTTCTGACAAGTCAGTCCCTTTTCTTGCTAGTGTCCAGAGAGTAATATCTGCCATGCCCTAACTGTATATTTGTTCTAGTTAAGGTGATGAACCACAATAAATAGTAAGTTTATGTAAGACTTTCTTTTCAACCTGTCTAAATATATCTGAAACAAACTCCCAAAGAGCTGTGATTTTTATTTGTTTTGTTAATGTGCAACAAATACAAACTTTCTCTTTTTTTTTTGCCTTACAGCATAAGCAGCACTATTATGGACGTAGACAGCACAATTTCCAGTGGGCGTTCAACTCCAGTTATGATGAATGGACAAGGAGTTCCTGCCTCCTCTGCAAAAAGCATTGCTTATAACTGTTGTTGGGACCATTGCCATGCTTGCTTCAGCTCCAGCCCAGATTTGGCAGATCACATTCGCTCCATACATGTGGATGGTCAACGAGGAGGGGTTGGTGTTACTTTTTGTTTTCTCCTTCTTTCTTAGTTGCCAATATTTTACTCTTTAATGACAGCAGCAAATTTTATGTTTTAAAGTGTCATTTCCATAGCTAGTGGCAACTAAGGTTGGGCCTTCGGCAGCCTGGTATTAGGCATTCAGCTGTGTCTCTTGCATGGTTCATTTCATTTGCTATGATTTGTTTTTAACTGAATGCCTAACTTTAAAATTGTAGTGAGTTCTTTTTAATAAATGATTTGAAGCTATCAGGTTTTTGATAGATGTGCTAACTTCTTAACATCTTGAGATGTTGGTATATCTTTAAGCGCTTGTACTTGGAATTAATTTTTTTAAAACTGTTAGCGTACATGTTACTGCTTGTGAACACGGGTGAAGTCATATCTTGATTATTTTTACAAATGGAGTCTCAGTAGAGGTAAAATATATACAGCATGTATACTAGGGAAGATGTAAGACTCATTGACTTTAGAGTAGAAAGTCTTACCAAAACAGCTCTATCTGTAGTACTGATGGCAAGTATACCTTATACTTCGATGTAACTGCATCTAGTATATTTAAAAAAAAAAATAGAGGAATATAGATAATTGTGTGTATTTTAGTCTAATCCCTAGTCAAATGATGCAATTTCTGTTGGTCTCACAATTTTAATGTTTCAAAACATCTTCCAGTAGAGTAATTTTCAACTTTGTATTTAATTACTCTCCCCTTCCCAACCTCCCAAATTACCTTTGGTGCTTGGAACATGTCATGTAAACTACCTTTACATCAAACACAAGCAATCTGCCTGCCTTCAGCACTGTATGTTGCAGCTCTTTAATTTCTTGTAGAGCTAATAACAACTACACTAGGTTAAGATTTGATTTCTGTTTAATTTCTCCTGTTACTTCTCCAGAAGTAAAATTTTAGACCATTACACTTTATCTTGAGTGAATAAGAGACTTAAATAAAACAGTAATTTGCGTTACCTTAAGTAATTTATTATGTAATTGCATTACTGAGACAGCCGTGACTCTGGTTGTGTTTAGCTGATGTTTTTTGATAGGATTGAACTTTCAGCTTCATATTTGGTGACTTTTTTCATTCTAAGCAGGATCATCCATCCAGTGAGCTGGCTTTTTAGTTACCCATGAGATAATTTCAGTGGTTCACTTCATAGGCTTATAAAAGTGTTACGTGAATCCTGGATGAAACAATGAAATGGATGAGGGGTATCAGTACCCTGTGGGCTTTCACATAACTGCATCTCCATGGATCTTTATCCCATCCATGACCCTTTTTCACTTCTTAAAAAGGGGCTGGAAGATTTTTCAGGGTTGTGTTTTTTGTTGTTTTTTTTTTTTTCTTTATTGTGTTTCTGTTGACTTACATTATATGTGATGTGATTTTGTGGATATTTTTATTTAGAAAATGTTAGACTGTATTTGTCTTTCTGAAAGAGGAGCTTGGTGGAAGCACGAGGTGTCTAATAACTGTTGCATTCAGTTCACACTTTTTATCCCCCTACTGGAGTTGGTTTATTTTTCGAAAAGTTCTTCGATTGATGCTATGGAAGGGGACTGATCCTGGCTGTTCTGTTTCAGGGATTTGTCTGCCACCTGCTGGCGAGGTGTTTAAGCAGTGTTAGAAACTATATTCTTGTGGTTTTGATAGGATCTCTATAAATTTGAAGAAAAGTGGGAGTAGTAACTGCTTATTGAAAACTTACAAGGATGTTTATCACATTGCTTTTATGGTAAAATGTGTATTTTCAAACTAATACTGGAATGGTGGCTCCAAACCAAACCAGACAGGTCCATGAAAGCTTTGAAAAAATAGTTTTACCTCCCAAGGTGGGTTTTTTTTTGTTTGTTTGTTTGTTTTTTTCCCTCCAGAAATATTTTGAATACCAGGAAGTCAGGCCTGTAATTCTGGTGAGGTGTTGTAAAACCAAGTGCTTGGGTTTTTTTTGAGGGATTGCATTTCCACAATATGGGAGTTCATAGTAGTACTCCTTTTCTGTGTGCCCTGCAGTCTGCAGTTGCTGATGAAAACATTGGGACAGTTACGGAGCTGTTGCAGAGCCAGGAATCTCGGCAATTCCAATTCTGCGGCTTCAGGGGGCTCTCAAAACTGAGGAGCAGCAGACATCAAAGGGCTTGTGTCAGTAGATCTGGATCAGTCATACAGACATGCAGAGTCTTCCAGCTTTGTATTTGTAAGCTGAGGTTATCTATATATTATAAAGCAAGAACATAGCGCTCCTGTGGCTGCTCTTTTGTTTTGAAAATCCAGTCTCTTGAATTTTGAGTTTCTTAATCTTCAAAAGAGAACAAGAAACTCGAATCCAATTAGTTTTCTGCAGTTCTGAAAACCTGTATTATGGGCAGTGCTAGTCCTGGGGACTGTATTTTGCTGCTACAAATCAGGGCTGTACCTCCCTTCACATACAGACCTGTTGAGGAAATTCTGATGAAAGGCAAGTTCATTGAACTTTTTTGTTCTCTCAGTTATAGATAGGCACAATGAGAGGAGAGAGAAAAGCAGCATAAGTAAGCTCTACTCCCCTTAATGCACTATTGTGCATGTGACTGATCTGTACACTGGAATCACAAAAGACCCATAGACTTTGAATCCTGTGAGAAATTGTAACTTTTTTCCTCAAGGGTTGAGTATAAGGCCCCAACTCGAGGTATCCAGTATTCCATAATGTAAAACTTTGGCGTCTAAAAATTCTTAATTACAATAGTTTTTCACTTTTTCATGCGCAAAGAATAAAATTATTACTTGCTTATGAGAGTAAATGATTTTATTTCTATATCTGCTACACAGACAATATAAACTTGTCACTTAAAAACGTTCTGTCTTAATATCTGGTGGATACAGGTATTGAGTGCAAACACAAACTCTTTACAGTGGATGCTACAGCTTTCGATTGTCTTTATCTGCAGGAGCACCTTTTTTTTGGTACTTGGTTCCAGTGATCTGCTTTTTTGAATACTTGTGGTTGTGCTTATTTTTTTTTTTTCCTTGGTAAGATACAAGAAGTGTGTTGCAAAAAAATGGTTATTGTTCAAAATTCTTTAAGTACTTTGTATAGTGAAAACAGGCTTCTCTGCTAATCTGATATTTTTTTTTTTTCTACTCTTTTCTTTGACTCATGTAAACTTACCACATTTTTACTCTTATTAGGTGTTTGTTTGCTTGTGGAAGGGTTGCAAAGTATATAATACACCTTCAACAAGTCAAAGTTGGTTGCAGAGGCATATGCTGACACACAGTGGGGACAAACCTTTCAAGGTAAGGTTCACTGTACGATATATCCTTGCTTATTTTGAGAGGTCCTAGTTATTTTTCCTGATACATCATATTTAATTGACAAATGCCATCACAGGAGGATTTTTAAACAGTATCCAGTGAGGTGAGCCTTCGTCTTTGCAGTAATTGTTCCCAAAGATTCTGTTCTGTTATGAAAACAGATGAAGATACTGTTATTGCTTCTCTATCCCTGTTTCTTTTAATCTATTAGTTATAGGGGAGTCTAAAACTAAATACTGGTGAAGTTCGATTTTTTTGTGCATTTTTGGGTTTAGCTGCTTACACTGTAAGACAGTGAGATATTTTGCCTCCTGCTTTACACTTCCACATTAAACTTTGGATCATACCTGATAGTGTACATTCTGTGCTTGAATAAGAGCTGATTTGGTTAACAAAATTAAGTTGAAACACAGTCAGTGACTACTTATGGTTAACCTCTTTGAGAATAATAAGGAAACTAGGAATGCAGGACCATTGAGCTGACTGTATTTCCTGCATAGTATTTTCTAACTTTCTCTTTCTTTCTCCCTCTAATCTGTACCTGCAATTCTAGGTATAGTAGTGTTTATCATTCCCATATCCACCAATCCGTTATTAATGAGTTGCTTCATCCTCTTATGGATACAGTTGGGGCAGTTCATAGCTGTCAGTCCTGGATCACTTGATGGTAAGTCCCACCCACACTACTTCAGACTGAAGTTCTACTTCCATGTAGGATATGAAAATTAATTAGGGTTTTTTTTTTAAGTTTAGGTAGCATTTTATGCCTTCCTCTACCCCACCCCACAACCCCACCAACTTTTAGTCACTGTGTCTCCACTTCCCTCTCCTCTCTTTCCTCTCAGGTACCCCCCCCCCCCCCCCAGTTTAAGACAGCTTTATTACTAAAAAATACTTTTCTGTTACAGTGATGTCTTCTTTATAGCTTGTAAGAGTAGTTATGACAGAAAACAAAACTAAACTCAAAACCTAGAGAATAAAAATAGTACATTGCGTGTGAGAAAACTTTTGAATAAAGGCTAGACTTTTTTCCATACTGAACTGTGTAGTTTAGTCTTAAAAATTTCAGACTGAGAGAGCGAGTAACGACGGGAAACTTGGTCTTGAGGTTAGCACACCCTTTGTTCAAAGGAATAAGATTAGCATGCTCTTGGAAGCATAGCATAAGGGTCATAGATCCCTGAAATTTTGCCTATATGATTAGATCAGTTGCTGGAACAATCGTAAGTGCTGATCTCTGAATAAAATAAAAGAACCAAACCCAGTCATCACAGGAAACTTGTACCTTAGGTCTTCTCATTTTGAAATTAAATATTTTATATACCTTAAAGTATAATGGCAAGCTTTGGTCTTGAGGGGAAGGTCTTTTGGTAGGGTAGTTTGTGTGCTTATTTTGTCTAGATCAAACAAACTAAATTTCAGAGATATTGGGTTTAAAAGAGGTGGCCATAGCTCAGAAATACCAATAGTACTTTTGAGTCTGTCAGAGTCACATAGCAAAGTCAGTAAAAGTTGGTATCTCATTTTTTGGGCTTGGCAGGTTACAGCTAGAGCCCTAAAATAAAACAAATAGTTCTGATAATAATAATCTTGTGTTAAATATGTGTCATTTCACCAGCTGACTTTCTGTACATTCTGGTCATACTAAGGGAAAGAACAAAACAGAGACTAGGGTTGCAGTAGTTAATCATCATGGCTCAATGTGTGTCACTTCAGTATGTTTTCCTGCTGTTGTCTTTAGTCCCTCTGTTTGTTTTTACCCCTGTATTTCTCAATCTGTTCCTGGGGGTTTTGAATGGGAATAATTGTGGTTGAGTAGAATTTTGTAACATCTTTTGTTCCCCTGTCATTTATGCTGAACATAGGCTTCAGGTCTCACATGAGGTAGCCAAGTATGTAAGTGTCTGTGATAGCAACCTATTAATTAACTGGCCCCCTTTCCTTGCTGCTTTTCTTTTACAAGCTTTTGAAATCTACTGTCTGATACAAAAACATTTAAAGTTTTGAATATTAGTCTTGATTGGTCCAAGAACAGCCATTACTAATTGTTTTATGGCAGTCATTAAAAAACAGAGCAAATATTTCCGTTTGTGCATTTAGCTGTTCTTATGAATCTTAATTGCTCACCTCTTAGGAAAAGCCAGCTTTTTTCATGTCAGAGTGGGATTAAGGGTCTCTTGTTCTTGATGATTACTGCAGACAAAATATCTCCCAAAGCCTAAATTGCAAATGAAATTTCTGTTGCCTTGGGAGAGTTCTAGCATAGAAGGAAGGAATCTTTCATTTTAGAGAACTTGCTGAAAATACTTAGTTATTCACTGTTTTATTTAAAAAATGAATAAATGTCAGGATTTTTATGGCTTTCCTCAAAAGGCAGTAATGGAAATAGTATAGCTGTATGCTGTTGTCTGAAGAATTGCTGTTTCAGGGTGTTTTTAAGAAAAGCGAAGAATGCTAGCTAGGAAAATGACAATTAAAAGCATGAAAATCTACTTTTGTGAAGGTAAAGGAACACTATAATTGTATAATAACCAGAGGAAAGTAATAAGTATATGGCGGGTTGCTATATTCTTATATTTCTAGTCAAAATAAGAGACAAAAGTGTTTTCTTAAATTGAAAGGCAGCTGGGAACTGTCTCAGGCATAAAGGTCTCCTTTTCATTAGAACTACTGTGTTGAACTATATGTCCCTGTCCTGTCCCTCTCTTGCTTGCAAGTGGACTCATTTTATGTAGTTGCCCATTTTGGGTTTAATTATCTATTTTTGAGATACACATGCTGTTGTCCTTTGATTAAAAACTGTATTCAGCTGCAAATAAGCTGCTGAGCTTTCATATTAAAATGTCTTTGTGGGTTTACCTGCCCTTTGCATGCAATACAAACCATGTGACTGTGTAGTTCATTTGTCACAGAAATGAACCCACTTTTAAATTAAAAAGGCAAAATGTTTAGTATTTTCATAAGTTTCTCCTGTTTTTTTTTTTTCCTGTTTGTGTGGTTTAATGTGTCCCCATTAGCATTAATATTGCAATACCTGTGTCACAGAAAAGGTAAATTTCCTTATGAATACCTATTTTTGAGACCTGTGTTACGCTAGGTCCATTTTCATATGGGGCGATTTCCTGGTAGCGTATGTCCAGCTCACAGGGAGGAGACATTTTGTATCTGAGTCATATGCTGAGCTAAGGGGAAGGGGAAAAAAAAGATATTCTAGATCTTCAGGCAGAATTTAGGACCTCAGTTCCCCTTTAGTCATAATGCTGCTTTTCTGTTTATTCCCTCCTTTTTTTTTTTCCCCCCAAGTTTTTAATACTGATGGCCTTGGATTTCATGTTAAACACAAATATGGATTTTTTTGCTTGGTTTTTTTTGAGGCCATCATCACATAAGTTTTTTTTACCGATAAAGTGTCTTTTCCTAGGGCACCAACCAGTCACTCCACCAAAGAAAAACAAGTCCGTTAAATGAGATGTAGTTACTATTGCAGCTAGTTCCTAGTCTGCAGTCAAATATGATTTCTGCAAAGCAGCAATCCTACTTTTGGTAAACAGCATTTCCTAGGTTTGTTTTTTCTGTCAAGAGGAACAAACAAACTAGTCTTACAGCACATATTTCTGGTTGAGAACTTTCTGCCCTTCTTTGGTCTACTGTTAGATATTTTTGAAGTTATACAGCTCCTCTTAATACCTGAAGTTCATTGCTCTTGTGCTGTTCAGAGTTTTCTCTTAGCTTATTGCAGTCTGATTCTAGCCATCCTTTCATCTTTTATCTTTTTTTTTTTTTTTTGTCATGGTAGGCATTCACAGAATGATAGGGGTTGGATGGGACCTCTGGAGATCATCAAGTCCAAGGCCCCATCAGAGCAGGTTCACCTAGAGCAGGTTGCACAGGATGGTGTCCAGGTGGGTTATGAATGTCTCCGGAATGGGAGACTCTACCACCTCTCTGGGAAGCCTGTTCCAGTGCTCTGCCACCCTCAAAGTAAAGTTCCTCCTCATGTTTAGATGAAACTTCCTATGTTCAAGTTTGTGCCCGTTACCTCTTGTCCTGTCACTGGGCACCACTGAAAAAAGACTGTTCCCATCCCCCTGGCATCCTCCCTTTAAGTATTTATAAGCAATGGTAAGATCCCCTCTCAGTCGTCTTATCTCTAGACTGAAAAGACCCGTCCTTCAGCCTTTCCTCCTGAGAAAGATGCTTCAATCCCCTGATTATCTTTGTAGCCCTTTGCTGGACCCTCTCCAGCAGGTCCTTGTCCTTCTTGAACCAAGAAGTCCAGAACTGGACACAGTACTCCAGATGTGGCCTCACTAGGGCAGAGTAGAGGGGGAGGATGACCTCCCTTGTCCTGCTGGCCACACTCTTCTTGATGTGCCCCAGGATGCCATTGGCCTTCTTGGCCACCAGGGCACATTGCTGGCTCATGGTCATCCTGTTGTCCACCAGGACTCCCAGGTCCCTTTCCACAGAGCTGCTCTCCAGGAGGTCAGCCCCCAACCTGTACTTATGCGTGGGGTTATTCCTCCCCAGGTGCAGCACCCTGCACTTGCCCATGTTGAATTTCATGAGGTTCCTCTCTGCCCAACTCTCCAGCCTGTCCAGGTCACGCTGTAAAGCAGCACAGCCTTCTGTCGTGTCAGCCACCCCTCCCAGTTTTGTGTCATCAGCAAACTTGCTGATGGTACACTCTATCCCTTCATCCAGGTCATGGATGAATATATTGAATGGGACTGGGCCCAGTACTGACCCCTGGGGAGCACCACTTGTTACAGACTTCCAACTAGACTCTGCACCACTAATCACAACCCTCTGAGCTCTATCTGTCAGCCGGTTTTCAGTCCATCCCACTGTCCATTCATCTAACCCACACTTGCTAAGCTTGTCTATGACAATGATATGGGAGACGGTGTAAGAAGCATTGCTGAAGTCAAGGTAGACAACACCCACTGCCCTTCCCTTGTCTATCCATCCAGTCCTTCCAC